AGCGAGAGTGTGTGAGCTTAGGCTGGCCGGTTGCTTCTTCGCATAATCATCTCACTGAAGAGCAACGAACCCTGGAGCTGGACTGCTCCTTTCCTTGACACACCGAACCGTGTCAGTGGGATGCCCTGGGGCTGCAACCCCACATCCCGATGCCATCCTCCTTCCCAGTGGCTCCATGTGGGAAGGCAGACCCTGGCACTGCTGACCATGTTGGACCTGGGCAGAACCACAAACTCTGTCCATGCTCCTTCTCTTTGCCAGGAAATTGTTTCATTTTCGGGGAAATAAACCAGTAAAAATGGAACAGATGAGAGGTTTCCTCGAGAGGGCAGCAGCTTGCAAGGGAAACTGTCCCATGTAAGAAACTCTTTCCATTTCAGGGCACTTGGGGGGAGTGGTTCACAGACCCTTTCCAGAGAGGGAGAGCTGCCAAATTCCCACCTCCCCTCAGCCCCCAGCAGCGAAACAAGGTGCAAACTTGGCCCCTGAAGGCTTTCTGTCCTCTTCTGCTTCTGCCCTTGCTGTCTGCTGGAGGTGGGGACACGAAGGGGCCCTTTCTGCTCCCCTCCCACGCTTAAATTGCCTGCCCCAGAGAGAACCTTCTGTGTCAGAGCTCTGTCCAGATGCAGCAGGTAGAATGCTCTTTCCCCTTCCCAGCAGATGGGCAGGAGAACAAAACCCCAACTTTCCTACCACGAGTCGTAGCCAGAGAATGCAGCGGATGAGTTACCAAACCCATCTCCAACATATCACCCTTTTTTGTTTTATAACTTAAAATTAAAATTAAAAGATTTGTGTATATTGTGATTTGTAGTACTAAACATGAAGTTATAATAACTTGGGAAAATAAGAACTTGGTATACCTTCAAACTTTTTAATACCTTAAAGGCTTTCAAGCTATCACACACTCACTCTCTCTCACTTCATTCACGGAGGCCTCCTTTCATTCACACAAGCACACACTTGAATTCACCTTGCAACGATGATAAATGAAATTTGATAATCTACAAATTATAATGTTCATTTTCATACTAAAACCTAAGACATGCGTGTCTTTAAAGTAACTGTATGTTTAAAAGACTAAAAAGTGTAACAAAAACAACAAAAAAATTACTATAGACAAAAGATAAAAAAGGTAGTTATGGATATTTTTATTCCCCCTTTTCTCTTTATAAAAAGGAGTGGAATATGAAAAAATGTTTGACAAGATGTTAGTAATAGATGTGAAAAAGATAGTATATTTTATGTTTATTTTAGACAATGCTTTATCAACTTGCCTTGATGTTATTATGTTTAAGGCCTTTAATGTAAATATATAAGGTAAGGATCAAATAATAAAATCAGAGGTAAAGCTTTATATAAAAATGGTTATCCATATATAAAATAACATACCAGAAATAAGTATTTAAGTGTACAAAATTACACAATTAAAAACCAGCACTTGCTGTGTAATTCATCACTGTTGCAACATGAGTGCCTTCTTATCTTCTCCGGAGTGAAATTAGGGTTGGCGGATGTCCCACAAACTTTTGAGTTTGTGTCCTGTATACAAAAACTTAATAAAGGTATTATTAACAAAATATATAAACATAATTATTATTAATGAAATATACAAAACATAATTATTATTAAACTCAAAAGAGTACCTGCAAAATTATAGTATAGTCATGACTGCATTTCGAGTACTCAAATTATTAGCATGCTTTAGGAAATAGTCTGCAATTAAAACTATTTACAAATATCACGACCCCTTGCTGTTGATTTTAAAAGTAGATGTTTCTCAGTATCTGCGCATTGACGGGTGGTTGAATGAAGAATCAGCTATGGCGTTTTATGACACCTCCTTTTTCGCAGTGCAGTGCCATCCTCCAAGATGCTCTGCCCTGGGCAAATCCCAAAACAAACACAAACACCCCTTAGTGTTATTTTTCCATAGCCAAGCCCTCTCATGGATCACGGATTTACACCACTCTTCCTTTCCACCAAAGCATCGAGGGGCTGAGCACCCCGATTCCTTCCTTGTTCCAACCCACAGGTGGTGGGAGCACCTCTGGGTGACCCTGGCACACTTGGAACAGGCTTGCACGGGGCATCCCAACTTTAGAGTGAGGTGGTGCAGCTCTTGAGCACAGCTTGGGGAAACTGTCCACATGAGGAAGAAATGGTTTGGGGAATGGTGTTCGGGGCAGTGCTGGGCATGGGAGGTGGGGAGAAGTGCTGGGGTCAGGCTTTGTGACCTCGAGTGAGGATGATTGTGGAAACCAAATTCATCCTGTCAGCAAGCCAAGGTTTGCTGAAAACGAGTCCCCTCCTTAGGGTTAACTTTGTCCTAAAACTGTGAGGTTACATCTGTGGCCCCAGTACTTGAGAAGATCTGGTGACAATCTCTCCATTTTCCATCAATTCCTTTGCCTCAAACCGGGAGGCAAACATGTTCAACCCCTCGCCAGACAGAAATAGGGCTCATGAGCCTGATTTTGGGGACAGGTGGGCAGGACTGGGGATGGGAATCAGAGCCACAGAAAGGCCACGGCAGAGGCGTGGTTCCACCTCTGAAATAGCACATGTGCTGGTAAATGCCATTTGAGCACATTCTGGGCTATTTCATAGGATATAAGCAGAGATATAGATGATTTGTAGCATGCATATTGAACCCTGTTTTGTGTCTATATTGCATATTTTAGATATCCTGCAGCTGTGTCAGGGGAAGGTTAGGCTGGATCTCAGGGAAAGGTTCTTCCCCC